GCTGTAGAATATGGAGATGAAGAGTGGTGAGAGCTTTCTAAAATATGCTCAACGATGGAGGAATGTCTCATCTCAAGTGCATCCACCAATAACTGAAAGAGAGTTCATCACTATATTCATCAACACATTGAATTCTCCATATATCGACTACATGAGAGGAACTTCCACCAAGAGTTTCTCCGACATCGTCATGTGTGGAGAAATGATCAATAATGGCCAAATATGAGGCACTAGCAGTATTGACATTGAGCAAAGAGTTGAGATTAACATCGTGAGATCTTATCTAGCTAGTCTGGGGAATAGGCCTCGTAATGTCTTCCGCGAAAAGACTCGCATCAATCCAATCCCAATGACATATGAGGAATTGCTCCCAACGCTAGTTGAGAAGAATCTTGTGACTCTAGTTCAATCCAAACCAAGAGAACCCCCATATCCTGAAGACCATGATATTAACGCCATATGCAGCTATCACATTAAGAGCTCAGGGCACACCACTGAGAACTGTGGGGCATTGAAGCACAAGGTCCAAAATATGATCGATTCAGGGGTATTGACATTCAATGTGTAATAGGCATTCTGATCAGGAGTCGGCTGGGGCATCCATCTGGAATTTTGTTACATTCTCATGCATGTCATCTTGTTTGAATTTGTTTTTCTATCTATTTTTAAATGTTTGTAAATCACTTGATTTTTGAACATTTTAAATAAAATGTTTCCTTCTTAGGAAATGAACAATGAGCAAATTTCAATCTTGAAATTCTTTTAATATCATTTGAATTAAAAGCTTTTTAATAATTGAAGTTGTAAATCTATGACAAATGACAAGATTGAACCTTGAAAAACAAGGACCCCTTGATCCTAATCTATAAAAACATCAAAGTGCATACCTTTCCCTTGAAGGAACCAAGATAGCTCTCTCCTCGTATGTACAGTCAATCATTTTGGCATTCAGGTATGTGTTAGAAGCGAACAAAATGGGGCAACTAGAACGTGAAATAGAAAAGTTGATTAGTTTCTACTTCTGTTAATGGCATTTAATGATGATCATATTCTTCTTAGATGGAATGGTCAAGTAGATGAATCTAGTTTAGGTCAGTTGCTTGGAAATTGAACTCTAACGATGAGATTTTCTGACCTTCAACAAACACTAGGACTATAACAGATTCTCCTTAGCGAACTTAAGAAATGGAATCCGTATAGCCAGAATATATATATATGTATACAATAAAATCTAAGTTATTCCACTAAAGTAATTGGTTATAAAGTAAACTCGAAAGCCCTGGCTTTATGAATAGATTACATTCAAACCATGACATTGATCGGGTATTTGGCAATTCGGTGTTTGCTCTACTGTGATTGTCAAGTCAAAGACTTTGTGACGACATGAATACTTCAGCTAGCGAACAAAGGCAATTATAAAATATATATGTACAATAAAGTTGAATTCAGCTAGCCAAAAAATGATAGGTTAAATCAAATTTTCTAAATAAGGAGTTTCAGAATGGAATAAGGGAGTTGAGGAACACTTGTTATAATCAAATTCACACGAGAACTCAGAAATATCATTTTTATATTAATATTTATGCAGTGTCTTTGCTAGAGGAGTCTACGAAGCTTGAATAAATGGAAGATTTCAGAGAACTGAAACAAAAATGTCTAAAGAGTCTAGTAATTGACTATGCTAGTTACGACATTTTGTCCACCTCCGATCAAAATGCCAAACCAAAAAAGAGGTGCATGCCATGATCTTCACGATGACCGAATCAATGTAACAAACCTTAGAGTTTAGGTAGTTAACATCTAAACAAACCTTTCGATCTTGATATTTGTCAAGGATTTGCAGCTATCAAAGATTAAAAGAGCAATTGATTTTTTATATTCAATGAATTCATATTTTTGTGATTTGCTCCAATTGTGAGGCCGAAGAAGGGGCATTATTTTAGTTCATTTGAAAATGAAAATTCACATATTCTTTCTTCGTCAAGTTGTTTTCAAAAGAAGAAAAACATCTTCAAAATGGATAATCTCTCTAGAGGCATATCTTGGAATTCAACGAATATCTCTCCGAAGCTTAAGATCAAAGCTGAGGCAAGAGAAGACAAATTTTTGGGGGGAAATTTGATGGGGCAAGGAAAACAAATTGTCTTAGGTCAAGGTTTGCAAGAGTACACCCTGGTGGAAATGAAGATTGCTCACACAACCGTTCCCCTCACAGATCAACATACATACATCAACACATACATACATAACACATGAAAGTTGCATCTTTGCATTCATCATCATGTGAATTAAAGACATTTTATCCTCTCTTGAGGAAAAATTCAATAAAACATCAAATAAATTTCATCTTGGCATCCATCATAACATCCCAGAGAGTTAGTAAAAAAATGCATCATTTCGATCTTTCAGAAAATAAAAGTTTAGAAATGACCAGATGTCTTCAACCTGAAAAACAATGAAATCCACATATTTGACTTCCTGAAGTCAACAATCAGACCTTCTGAAGACATTTCCTCAACGTACAGGAACCGATACAGATTATGAGCTTTTGAGATTATCTTCTTGAAAAAACAAAGTGTCGTCTCCCTATAGACAATTTTTCTCAAAACAAATTTCGTCTCCCTTGAGACATTTTTCCCTCAGAATACAAATTTCAATGTTGTTTTACTTGAAACAAAGTTAATCTCACTTGCAACAAAGTTAATCTCACTTGAGATTTTTAAAATCAATTCCTCTCACTTGAGACAATTTCCCCTTAAAAACACAAATTCTGAAGTTGTTACACTGGAAATAAAGCATGTAATCTTTGAGTCTATTTCTCTAAAAATAAATTTTGTCTCTCTTGAGACAGTTTCTAATGAAAAACCAACCTTTGAGATTGTTTCCTTTGAAACAAATTTCGTCTCACTTGAGACATAACCCATCTTTGAGTATGTTTCTTTGGAAACAAAATTTTGTCTCTTGAGACATTTTCATTTGAAGAAAATCTTTGAGCATGTTTCTCTTGAAACACTTATCTTTGAGTCGTTTCTATTGAAACACTTATCTTTGAGTTATTTCTCTTGAAACAAAGTTTTATCTACCTTGAGATAGTTTCTTTGGAAAAATCATCTTTGAACTTCGATAAATCTATGAACTTCGATAATTTTAAAAATAGGCACGCATTCTCAAAAAGCACTAATAAATTAGTATAAATTTATTATTGGATTTTTTAAATTAAAATGATAATCAAATTAATAAGATTTTTAAATATTAGAAATTTATTAAATTATTTTTGAATGATGACTAATTTTATAAAATACTTAAGTTTTGAGAATTAAAAGTTATGCCATATCGCCATTTTTATTAAATTAATGATCAAATTTAACGATAAATAATTAGAATAAAAATATAATATTAAATATATAATTTTTTAAAAATATTGGGGAGAGAGAGAGGGGGGGTCATTTGGGTTAGATAGTGATCATTCATTAATTGAATTTGTCTCGTCATAAAATCCAAAGATTGGCTGCCATGAGTCTTCTGAGGAACCCTTACTGCCATTCTCTCACACATTTAAAGATATTAAAAAGATCAGTTGAATCCATCAATCACTAATCATAGTAATATACACACATACATGAAGACCTGCATAAAAATTATTTCTTCATGATATGATAAAGTTAATGTTATATGGGGCATGAGTGAGTGAGCCAAAGCTTAAATGCCTTACCCACACTTCATTAGATGACAAAATCCCAACTCCCATGGCCGGCTACCCTCACATACCACCAAATTCCAACTGAAGTTGCTGCTTCCCTTTATAATTTCACACTCTCTCTCTTCTTCTCTCTTTGGTTATATTAGTGAAGGGGGAACAAAAGAGTATTCAGAATAGGGGGATTAGAGCCTTTTTGTAGCCATGAAAAGGGCTGTTTTGAATCTGGTTTATTGCAGCCCCTATCTTTAGCAACTGAAAAGACTGGTATTTGTGGAAAAGATGGTATGTTTTACCGAATTTGACTTGAACCAAGTTGTTTTCTTTTAGGGATGGGAACTGTTTACTCCTCGTTGAGCAGTCCCTTTTGGTTTTCCTTTGTTAGATGAAAATAAGATTCTCACAAAAGCTGAACGGTCAATTTTGCCTGATACATTTGCAGAATTCTCCCAAACTGTTCTATAAATTGGTGGTTCCCCACCCATTACCGTGTGGATCGTTTCCCAATGACAAGATACCCACGGTTAGTCTGGTCTTTTTCTGTCTTTCTGCTATTTCTGATTCTTGTTTTTCTCTACTCTTTAATTTTGTTTTCTCTCTTATCTCTCATTCTCTCCAAGATGCAATTCACTGAAATCCCACCCTTGCACCAAATCACTTCGTTTCAGTCCCCACAATGAACAAAAACCAACTTCATCGGGCTCGTCCATGGCCTGGATTCCCTACCTCAAAGGGTTTGGGCAGCTTTGGTGATGCCAATTGCATGGAACAGCTTTTAGTGCACTGCGCCAACGCTATAGAAAGCAACGATGCTACTCTAGCGCAGCAAATTCTTTGGGTTCTCAACAACATTGCACCACCGGATGGTGATTCCAACCAGCGCTTAACATGTGCTTTCCTTCGAGCACTTATCGTCCGAACAGCCAAGAGTGGCACTTGCAAAATGCTTGCAGCAATGGCGAACGCTCATTGCAACCTCTCTATAGACATCCACACTTTCTCCGTCATTGAGCTGGCTAGCTTCGTGGACTTAACCCCTTGGCATCGGTTCGGTTTCACAGCAGCGAATGCAGCGATACTAGAAGCTGTTGAAGGGTACTCAGTCATTCACATAGTTGACTTAAGCTTGACACATTGCATGCAAATCCCTACATTAATCGATGCCATAGCCAATAGGCTCGAAGGACCCCCATTAGTAAAACTCACAGTTGCCGGTGGTGCCACTGAAGATTTCCCACCAATGATAGACCTTTCTTACCAAGAGTTAGGATCCAAATTGGTTAACTTCGCTAGGTCCCGCAATGTCGTGCTGGAATTCCGAGCGGTTCCGTCGAGTTACGCCGATGGATTCTCTTCTTTGATCGAGCACCTTCGGGTTCAACATTTAGTATATGCAGAAAGTGGTGAGGCTCTAGTTATAAACTGTCACATGATGCTTCACTATATACCAGAAGAAACTCTGTCTCCTCTTTCTAATGTAAATTCAAACCCTTATTCATTTGAATCATCGCCCACTCAATCTCTTCGAACCATGTTCCTCAAGGCGCTTCGAGTGTTAGACCCCACAATTGTTGTACTAGTAGATGAGGATGCGGATTTGACATCAAATAATTTGGTGTGTAGATTAAGGTCTGCTTTCAATTATCTATGGATACCCTACGATACGGTGGACACTTTTCTTTCACAAGGGAGCAAGCAAAGGCAGTGGTACGAGGCCGGGATTTGTTGGAAGATAGAGAATGTGATAGCTCATGAAGGTCTGCAAAGGGTCGAGAGGCTTGAACCGAAGAACCGGTGGGTGCAGCGGATTCAAAATGCCGGTTTTCGTCGGGTTAACTTCGGCGAAGACACTATCTCGGAAGTGAAAACGATGCTCGATGAACATGCAGCCGGATGGGGATTGAAGAAAGACGAAGACGATCTTTTACTTACTTGGAAAGGACATAATGTTGTATTTGCCACAGCTTGGGTGCCTGCTTGAAGCTCATTTTCATTTCATGAAATTATAATTTGAATTTTCTTGTATTAGTTAGGTTCTAATTTTATCCAAATTTTGCTGTCATTTGACTACTAGCTAGCTTGTAGTTAGTATCTATTTGACATTTACCTTTAATCTGAGTATGATAGGTTGAGGGTTCTTATCAAATTGTTTGATAAAAATGTTCATTTATAAATTTTTTAATATAGGGTTAAGATCCACTTACACAAGATAAAACTTTTTAGTTTTACGCAGGTTTAAGATAAATAACTAAGATTGACTCCTTGTTTTTTTTCCTCAATGAATATCTTCTCATTTACTATTGTTAATCTCATCCATTTATTTTTCACTCATCCAACGGTCCTAAACTTATGTAAAACTAAAAGAGTTTTACATTGTATAACATGATTATATATATATATATATATATTGTCACAAGATAATTAAATGTGTTAAGGTTTTTTATGTTTAAATTAAAGTCAGAAAGGTTATGAATAGAGGTGGCAAATGGGTTATTTGGATCGGGTTTGGCTCGGGTCATTTTAGGCATAGATTATATTCGGTTTAATTTTATTTGGGTCGTTTGGTCTGATTCGGATTTAGTTTGGGTGTATGGTAAATCGGATCGGTTCGAGTATTGGGTCGGGTCAATTTTCGGGTCGGTTGTTTTTCGGTTCGGATCAATATCGGATCAGTTGATTTTTGATCGGATTAATACCGAATCAGTTAGATTTCGGGCTAGGTCAATATCAGATTGGGTGATTTTTGGTTTGGTCAAACTTTGATCAAGTTAATTCAGGTTAAATTGGTTATGAGTATAATCAAATATATCTAGAATTATTAATATATTCTTATAAGAAAAAACATGTCTTCTTGATTGTTAATCTTATCATTTACACTTAATTCTGATTCTCAATCATTCAATATTTTAAATTAAACCATCATTTAGAGATGATAAATTGATAATTTGACACAAATACGATCCTATAATGCATGTTAGAGCTTGTTACCAAAATGTTACATTGATCTTGTATGAAAAATTTATAATGACAATTATTTAATAAAGAAATAACTTTTATTTTCAATTATAAATTTAATATTTTTATTAAATTTTAAAAAATAATATATAACTTGATGTCTTTATTTGTTACGTTATAATTGTAACATGAGTAAACTTTCTATTATTTTTATTATAAATCTAATATTATTTCCTTTGTTTTAGTTGTTTTCTATTATTTTTATTATAAGTAACATAAGTAAACTTTATTTGTTAGTTGTTATTCTTTTCAATCTTACTTTTATTTTATTCCTTTTATTATGTAATATAAGTAAACTTTCTATTATTTTCATTATAAATATAATATTTTTATTACATTTTTAATTTTATTTAAATTAATTTATTATTCAAAAATAACTTTCATTATTTAAGTTAAAGTATAATTTTATTTACATAGGAATTCTTTTATATATTTATAAATATTTTATATATAAGTATGATGTTGATCTTCTTTAACTCACGAAATTCAAAATTCAAGAATTTCTTCTGTCGTCGCTCAGCTCTCTTAGTTTCAATCGTCGCCTAGCTACTGCGCGTCAGCTCCAACTATCATACGCAACCGTCTCCCTTTCTGCTTCAGCTCTCACACGTAAATGGCTCTTCACCCAGTGCTCAACTCCTCATGCCTTGTTGTTCAATCACCTTACCCGAATATTGCTTGTTGTCGTGACCGGTAACCTCCAAATACATCACATTTCACTTTTTTAAGCTTCACTTTAATTTAATTTCTTTAATTAGTTATTTTTCCATTATTATTTACAATTACCACTATTAATTCATTACTAAAATCTATTGTTAATATTATTAATTTTACTATGATCGTTATTATTAATGTAAAAATTAATGTCATTTTCTACTATAATTATTATTACAATTTTTTAAGTGCAAGAAATTTAGTAATTAAACTGGTAACATCGATTATCTTTTACCTTATTGCATCTCGTTCATGCTTAATTTGACTTTCTTATTTCTCAGCCGAAAAAATATTATTATTTAAAAAAAAGACTTATTACGCACTCTAGGTATATGTCTATATCGTAGTAAATTATTTATCTAAAAAATTTCTATTCAGATTTTTTTTTTGTTCTATGTTATTAATAAAATTACGCGTGTATTTATGACGTGTTTATTAATGTATTTGTGTGATTCATTATGTGTCTTTGACGTGCATATGAGGTTTAGCTTAATACTAATAATATTTTTCTTTGTTTTTGCAGTCATGGGATCAAATGTTAATGTATGTGAGGTTTCAAGTGATACCAATAATGTTGTAGTAGAATCAAAATCTTTCTTAAGAGACGGAGTCAGGCTTAGAAATATTTCTCATTATCAATTCCACCGAGACTAACGATGGAAAAAAGAAGGCACTTTACAAGCATTGCAAAACTGCTTCTTTTATTTATTACTCACATTATGAAACCTCCAATATGCAAAAGCATATTGAAAAACTGTAAACAATATAATAGTTTGAGAACAAAGGGAGAAGGACTAGAAGTTGATGTTGATGACCAAAAAACTATAGAGAGTTGGTGGCTAAAGCAATTTTAAAGCATGGATATGTTTTTTCTTGGATTGAACGTGAAGGTAATAGAAAAATTCTTACATATTTGAACAATCAAGTTAGAAGTATATGTAGAAATACTGTAAAAGATGATTTACCCGAACCGATACTTGATATTAATTCGAACATGATGATTAAATGTGGTCATTGAAAAAATAACAAATTTTGTATATGCACAAGAATTAATAAAATAAAAATAGTTCATTTTTTCAAAAACTTTTTTTGGGGGTTGGCTTTCAAAATGATGTTTTATTTCGATTAAATATGACATAAACCCTAACTCTAAACCCTAAATATGAGGAAACGAAGATGAGCAACTTGGCCAGTCAGCTAAATATGCTTGCTTAGAGATCTTTTTTGTATATTGTGTCATTAATCTGATGTATGATCGAGTAGCTTTTGTCGTACTACGATCTAACTTAAAGTTAATTTATGGCGAATTTTAATTTAAAAAGTAATTTGTCTAACTTAAAAAATTACTATATTATTAGTAATAATTTTGGTTACAACTGAGAATATTACATTGCCACGATTTTTAGCCTTAAATGTTACATGTCTATTCTAAAAAATTGCACAATTGTAATAGTTTCGGTAGCAACCAATAACATTTTGATGTTAACCTTTTAAGTTGTAACCAGAGTAATTATGCAATTTATATGAATTCTTATAGAGAATGTAATGTTTTCTGTTTCAACTTAAAATGTTACCTAGATTACTCTAAAGAGTTGTATTCTTAATAAATTTTTCGTTTATAACCACTTTTTTTCGATTTTTAGTGGTTGATTCTCACCATTTGAATATTGCGGTTGCTGGTGTTATCTTTTTCAAGGTGTGACGGTATCCTTCAATTTTGGATCTTGTTTTCTTTAGGCCTGCATGTTACCTTACCTATAATGATGTAATATGCTATTGTCATTGTAGGAACCTTTATGGTTTTAATTTTTATAAATAAACATTAAAAGTATGTTTATTTTATTGTAATTAATTTTCCGAAAATTATTTTTTCTTTTACGAAAAATAGATAATCCTAAAATAGCATAAGAAAGGAAGTGTGTGAGTAAGATACCTTATGTTTTAGCTATAGGAAGTTTTTACTTGCGTCATCTTTTTACACATCCAAACATATATATATATTAGTGGGAATGATTAGTTTTTTTCTTTTTCTTTGTGTAACCACTATTTTTCAATTTATTAATAGATTAATCAGGATCAAACACTGCACAGGTAAGAGCGATCATCCCAACCCAGTTTACTTCATTCACAAACACCATGATTCAAACCCCTGACTTTACTTAAAGGATCTAGTAGCTCATCTATTAGACCAACTTATTGTTGGTATTGGGAATGATTAGTTGATATCAAGTGAATAATGATTGTTTAGAAAGTAGTGCATCATATATTTATCTTAAAGAACTAAGGACTGCTATATTCTGAAATGGATTCAGGTTCGTTTCAAAAGATGTGAATGTTCTGTGCTATTTTTTAAAATATGGTCATTAAAATATTTTATAAAAAGGATTAATTTGTCAAGTTTGAAATTGTGAGGAATCTCCGAGATCTTTTTATCCAATTCATCATGAAAACGATTAAAAATATTGTCAAAATATTCGTTTGCAACTTTCTCTGTTAATCTACCGAGAATCAAATGGAAAATTTATTTTTCCTTCAAACGAAAATGTTGTTATGACACAAATATTGTACTTGGAAAGGTTTGAATGACATT